GATTCTTCGGAAAACGGCTCGTCCGGATTTTTGTTTTCTTTTTCTTCTGGGTATTTCCACTTTTGGAGTTTCCACCGGGCGCCTTCCTCACCAGACCACGGCGACGAGCGAGGACTTTCTGTTCGCGGTTTTTGGACAGGATATAGAGGCGGCCCCAATTCTCCGGAGATTTTCCTTTTTTTTTTTGGAGCGGATTTCGGCAGGACTGGAGCCCAGTAGGGCTCGGCGGATGGTTGTGGCTGGACCTACGATTCCCAAGTAAAATTGTTGGTTTACGGGAAAGACTGCATGAAGAAGTGATTTTGGTTTGTTTTAATTTTAGCGATTTTCTATTGTTAATTTAGATGATTAAGTTTTAATTCTTTTAAGTTAGTCCAGATCTGGTTTATTGATTATTTTATAGCTGGTTAAGGAAACAAAGTATTTATTTTAATTTCACTCTGCTTAAGAGTAATAAATCGCCCCATTGTTAAGATGATTCTCATTTCTTTTTTTTTTGTTTTATTTCCCTCCGTATATGCTATAATCATATATGTAATTATTATAACCTCCTTTTCTTTGTTTGGCTTGATTACTTTGCATGGCCAGGTACCTTGTAAATGTATGAATAATCATTTAAGCAGAGGGAATTCGAATGCGATAAGGAGAAGGTAAGGTTGCTGATCAGGACCCGCCGTGTTAGGCTGACTTTATCCTGGCCCAAGCCTAGTGGCCTTGCCTGGAGTGCACCCCCCCCCCCCATGGCGAGTGTCCGCCATGGAATACAGTAAATCATTTTTTTTTTTTTAATAGAAAATACTACTTTCCTCTCATATATTGATTGTTTTGTTTATTTATTTATTTTTCTCAAATTTATTTAGAGTACAAATAAAAGTATATTTTTTTTTGTTAAAGGAGTTCCCCATTACTCTGGACGCATAAAATGGGGTGGCGCCCAACTCACCAATATTTCTTTGGTTTTTAATATTTTTTTTATTTTTATTTTATTTTTTTAATATATTTTGTGTATTGGCCCTCCACTCTTACCCCCCCCCCACTCCCTACGAGCTACCGGGATAAATTTTGCTCTGACCCGAAACAACTTTTTGGTGTAACAACGTAACTTTTTAGAAATAGTTTACATCAACAGGGATAAACATAGCATCAATTACAGAACAGACACATGTAAACTCAGTCGCAGCACACACAAAAGATATAAAACAATCAGTACATTCCTCACATCAAACATTTCTACATAATCTAATTCTTCAACAATTTGGCTTTCCTTTCCCTAATTATCCCCGTCGATATAATCCTGAAAGGATAATCAGGCCGAACCATTACCAATTTTTTCCCATTGTCGACTCCTTTTACCTCAAAGAAGCCGACTATTCATATAAAAATGTTTTCTGTCCAAACTTCCTTCCTCACCACTTCAAAATCCAACGTATATAAACATAAAACATCAAATCTCATTGGCACTCTGAACACGACACCCAATAATGACACATCTAGACAGAAAACTAACTCTTTGAGTGAGTACAATTATTTCGATTGAATCTAAAATTTTCTAGCATTGTATAAATTCATTTTGTCACATCCTACATGTATTTGTAAAATTTAAACAATATTTATAAATTCAGGCCCTGAAGATGATGTAAATAAATTTCGAAAATAAATTCGAAAAAAGTGTTTTTCCTTCGTCACACCATACCGCATCTCACGACCTCCAAGTAATCATCAAGTAACGGTCGCTAAACACCACGCAAAGAATTATCTTGTTTTGGTCTGTCAGTCCCACCATTGAAAATGTTGGGTGCCGGAAACCCTTATGACAGACAAAAAGTGCAAACAGGGAGGCAACAATTTTGGAAAACGATGAACCCATAAAATATGTATATTAAAAACACTTTTTAAAAAAGGTAATTAACATAAATAAAATTTTATTATAACTTCAACAAATTGATATTGTAAAACATTCCGATCCAACAAGCCAAATTGCACTGTATTCCCTGTAGATCGTAGCGTTTATTCATAAATTTCCATCCAACATGTAAATCCCGGGTGTTTCCAATTCAGGCAAGATTTAATGAATCTTCATGGAATTCAATTGGAGAATGTTTCAAAGTGTGGAGGGACGACCAAGTCCAGTTATAGTTAGAGGGCTGTAATGGCAATTACAATTCTGTTTCGATTGATGGCTTGAACCTGAAAGATGCTAATTGAACTGCAGGACTACAAATTACCTAGCTGTTCTAGGCTAACTTGGAGCTATTATATTATTAGTTATCTAATTTGAACTACTTCAGAACACCTGGTATGAAAAGGACTTGAGTTGAGACTAACATGCATTTATTATTAATCTATTATTTAAATAGTTTATGATATGTTATGGATCAAATTGGTTTTACAAATCAATCAATACAGTGTGTTATACTGTATTAGATCCTAATACGGACGCGATATTGGCATTTCTTGAATAACTACTGTCTAGTTGTGAAATTCGATGCAAGTTTTGAATAGTTAGGCTAAGAAATATTTTATACTTTATATTTAACATACAGCTTATATTTTATATATTTTCTTTTTTCTTCTGCCTAAATCGAGTTTTTTATTAGGTTTTATTCCAAGAAGTGCGAAGTTTTTGATTTCAAACATTATTTCAGATGTGGGAGAGTAAGCGAGACCACGAGGTAATTATCATTAACTCTGAACCATAAAATAATAGATAAAAATGCAAACTAAAATTTTGCAAATGATATTATTATACTATTGCTATAAGTTTAGCTCATCATGACTATGTTTATTTTTAGGATAACTGATGATAGGCGAGAAATAGCCCGAAATGTAGAAAATAAGGATAAATATTTTTGAAATAAACTAATCTTTTATAAAGGAATCAAAAACCACTTGCTTCTTGAAATAAACCCTAGTAAAAACACTCCATTTAGGAAGAAGAAAAAAATATGTACAAATACCGACTGCATGGAATCTAAATAATTTAAAAAAATTATGAAAATAGGACATGTATTTTATTATTATTTTAAGAATTCTAGTCTTTTCCCACCATCCGAACCCCCCTTCGGCCTTCTTCCTTGAGACCTCTCTCAACTGGTTGCAAGGGGGGTATCCTGGCGCAAAATAATGGTGCAGCCTTGAGGGCATGGTTACCTCTCTAAAGCACAAGCTTTACCACAAGCAGGGGACGGCGGGTGCTTTATGAGAGGCACACGAGGGTTAGGGTACCAGATCCTGTATGCATAGACGGGGGTGTGGACATAACCATCTGTATTACGGGGTAGCAGTAATGTACCAAAGTTCACCCCCTGCTACACGGGAACGGACTCGTAGTGGCTTAGTGGTGACGCTCCTGGCGGGAACTTAGAGAAGAGGCTGTTCTTCTATTTGTGACCTCCAAGCCGCCCAAGCACACGTATGACCTTCGTGGCAACCCCGGCCTCATGGGAAACGAAGGATCGGACCATCGAAGCGAATAGCGTTGAGGACGCTCAGACTACGCTGACGAAGTCCCACGAATGCTTGAGAAGTGGCGGATGGGAGCAGATAGTGGTCGTGGTGCCTACATGGGCGTCCTTTACCAAGGCAGTCTTTTCTAAGGGGTGGTTAGCAATTCCACTTTAACCAAAATCGCGATCGGAGCGTATCCGGAAGTTCTTTCGCTGGAGGAGCCTTTATACTCTGGGGCCTTCTCTATCTAGAGAGTGCGTGGAAGACCAGGCTGATGCATTTCAGCCACCTTGGGTAGCCCTTTACGCGCGGCATACGGTCTGTTGCTCAATGCAGACCCGACCGCTCGGAATAGGGGTTCATCTTGGCTGGGACAGCTTCTACACCAACACTTGCGGTTGTAACACACATTCAGTCGTGAGCAGAGGTGCGTCATCGCTCATCTTTAGAATCAAAACGTACGGTAAGGCCATGAGACAGGTACGGACACTAAAGATCCTCATTGTCCTTTTAAGGACGACCGAGTGTTTGCGAACGCATCCGAACCCTTTTGTCAAAAACCTGTCCTTCACCACGTGACGGCGGTCTCTTAGGATGGAGCACATCCCACTCATCATGGTGATGTTAGAACGGCTTTCATCACTGCTGTTTACGTTTCCATTCTATTGTTAATATGAATATTATATTTGTTTTACTTGTTGCGCCGAATGAATGCAGTTGTAAAAAAAAAGGATAACAATAAAAAAAAGTTCTATTTAAATATATCATAAAATGATTTTCGGGTGTTTTGACGAACCTTTTTTCAAACCTTAATTAAATATTTTTTGTTAAAACTTACGAATTTCTGATCCCGTTTAATTTGGTTTAGATTAAAATAATATAACGTAAAATACATACATTTTGAAGCAACAAAATACGTGAGAGGTTCTGACTTAACAAGAACGCTGTCAAATGGTGGCTCTAGGAGGACTTGATTCATAAAAGAAGGGTCATCCTCACCCGATTAGGGATAGGCCACGCGAGGTTGACACACAGACACTTACTGTTGGGCCAAAGCCCGCGTGTATGACCTATATGTAGAGAAAGGTTGTTTGATGTGTCCCACTTAATTGTCATCACCTGGAGCCCAACCTCAGTGCCTGGACGGATAAAACCGAGGTTTGACTACGGATTGCCCCTGGGTGGGCGATTATCGAAGCCTGCTTTAATTGCTATTTATTGTAAATTACAATAGGTGGAATATCCGATTGACTGCGAGAAATGCTAGGCCCAACTGTACACGTGCGCTTGTGTATACGTGTTTATATAAATTCAAATCCAAAAAGGAGTGACTGTTTTTTTGTCTTTTATAATATAAACTGAATTCACTGGGGTTTTCATAATTAAGGTATGTGATTTCACAGAAATCGAATTGGCCAGGTTAATTTTGATTCAATAACAAACAATACCAGGTAATGTTTGTGAATGATATTTTTTGAACATAAATTTTTTTCGCTATAAAATTTCAATTTGACAGTCGTGTTTTTGACATATGGTATAATATGTAATCTTTGTCGATTCACAAAAGTATTTATTATGTATAATGTTTTTACATATTGTGTAAGCTGTCAACGGTCCCCGGTCTTGAATAAATTGAATCAATTTGCATAAATTGTGTCAAAATGATTTATCATGGTCTTTAAAACTTAATATTGAAACATTCTAAGCCTTGATTAATTTTTTTTTTTTTGAGAAAGAGAGAGGGAGGGAAGATATTTGGCGACATTTTTCTGAACAATAGGGGAAAATTAAGCTTTAGGCTTTTCGTCCTTTTTCTCTCTCATATCTTTGCATTCTTTACACGGGCAGGTTTTCAGGTCTTTGCCGCAAGGGCCTATTATCTGTTTTTCCGCAGAGCTGGCTTTCTTTTCTGTTTTATCCGCCGTGGGAGTGTTCTGAAAGGATTATGAAAACTATTAGCTATATTGGAAAAATAAAATATTCGTGGAAGATCGGTTACCGACTGGGCCGTGTTCGACGCCTCTCGCTTCGGCCGAATGGCAAGACTTCTTGAAACAAATTTAAACATTACGAAAATTTTGAATATCCGACGTGTCAATTTTGGAACATGTTGTTTTTATTATAAACATCTGGTAGAAACGATAAACTAGCTTTTATTACTGATTTCTAATTACAAACGTAAAATAAAACAATTATTATTGCACAATTGTACACGGAGGACCACTCGGTTTATTCGGGAGGCGGAAAAAATAATTAAAATACAAATAAAAACTACAAACTTAATTGAAATAGTAACGGAAGAAAAATAAGACAAAATGAAGTGAACCACTTATAAAATGAATAAAAGAAAACAGTACAATTTTTGGGAGATAGAAGATTGTAAAAGTACCTCTTTCTCACATTAAAATAAGCAATTAAAAGTACATGGTTGCATGTAAAAAGCCCATTCATACGTAGGTTGAAATGATATCCTAATCTAGACTAAATGTATTTTAGTTTTAGGTAGAATATCGAGGACCCAATAGATCAGTCGAACCAATTAGTTAACTTAGGATAGTGAATACACGAATATTAATATGTATAAATTTATTGACGTGAACGAAAGGAAGGCGTCAAGGTGAAAATCGCTTTGTTGGTCTCCCAACCGTCCGTTTAGGCTGTACGTAATTTTGGGTTTTAGGGGTTTGGGTTATATAATCTTTTAAATAGTGCGTACGTACCACAATACCATACAACCCGATTAATTCCTGAACATTGGGACCGACTTCACTCACGGCTGTTGAATTACTTAAAGTCGTTTGGCATTGCGCCATCATCACTGAGGAACTCCGAGTTTCTATGAACTCTGCCTGTGCGAGCAAGGGCAACCCAACTCAATTGAGGATAATCCCTCACTCTCCGAAATTCTAAATTTCTCTAGAATCCGCTAAATATCAATTCTTTCCAGATTGCAGTCCATCAACATCTCACATGTAATTTAAAAAAAAATGTAAAATTCAATCCTTATAATTCCTTAACACTTACCAGCCCACAATACTTGTAAGTCAATTACAATTCAATTAATGTATATGTTTAAATAAATGACAATAAGGCGATATTTTGAATTTAATTATAATTGTACAAGAATAGAAGGAATTAAATTTAGATTTTATACAAACGAAATAAATCAAATATAAAATAAATTTACAGTTTTAATAAAAACAAAGAGAGAAAAAAAAGACAAAACATAAATTGTCTAAAGCGAAAAAACTCACGGGTGAGGTCAGCGAGTGGAGCGGCGAGTCACAAACAAATGCGGAGCAATCGACACGTACAAAAGAACGGTCGCGAATAAATTGCGGATGTACTTGTGCGCAAAGTCTTTAAGCTTGCGGCTTGCGGGAACTACCTCGAACACGTGAGGTAGCAAGAAGAGTGTCTCTGGACCTCGTCGTCAAGCGAGTCTCCAACAACAAAACCCGTCACTTCACGGCCTTTTAGATGCGCGACGTACAGATCACAAAAATTCACACTTAACAACAATAATTACATGTAACTTATACTAATTATTTTTAAAACAAAAAATATACAATATATAGAAAATATAGCATGCTTGAACACTGCCTTATTCTGAACTTAGGTTCAGCATAATCCTATGATATTGGATAAAGTAAGGTCTTGGATGGACAGCTCCTAGAAGAAATATTGTATAAACATTTAAAGCCTATTATCTTTAATTTAATGCTAGATTCACTGAGTTCTAATATGGCGAATATGTCGAACCGATCAGGTTAAATTAGAAGGCTAGTGTAAATGCGTGTTTTGCACTGTGTGTGAATGTATTTATTTGCGTGAGTGGTTGAGTGTGTATAGACACGGTCTGACTGAAGTATCGCCTACTCACAGACCTGTCGAACAAATTGGGTTAACTTGGGATATTTAACGTGTGATTTTTATTGTGTGTGAATGTATTTATTAGTTATTGATTATTAGGAGATCTTGAGATGCGGTCTGGTGTGACGTAGGTTTCAGAAAAACATTTTCATTATCGTGCCCACGTTTCGACCATTATTGAGATCATCTTCAGGGGCTGGGATTTATAAACATTGTTTAAACTACACAAATACATGTAGGATGTGAAAAAAGTCAATTTATACAATGCCAGAAATTTTAAACTCGATCAAGTATTTGTACTCACTCAAAGTGTTAGTTTTCTGTCTAGATGTGTCATTATTGGGTGTCGTGTTGAGAGTGCCAGTGAGATGTATTTATTAGCGTGACTGAAGGAAGGGGGTTGAATTCTTGTGCCTTGGAAAATCTTAGAAGAAGTTACACTGGCAAAATCATCATAAGATCGGATAGCCAAGCAAATATTGGGTTGTCCGGAAAATAATGCAGGATTTTGGTATTAAAAAAAAAAAAGAAACTAGTTACTTTAAAGCAATGTTCTTTAATCAAAATAATCTCCCAACGTGTTGGTAACTTATTAATTCCGTCTGAGTAGAATTCAGAATTTTTAGAATTGATAAAGTCAATAAATGCATTTTCCAGTTCCGTTTGATTTTTGAATATTATGTGTTGTAAGTAGTGGTCCAGGTGTCTAAAAAAATGGTAGTCAGTAGGCGAGAGGTCCGGAGAGTAGGGTGGGTGAGGCAAAGTTTCATAGCCAAGCTCCAATAATTTTTGTGACGTTACACGTGACACATGTGGTCGAGCGTTGTCATGCAACAAAATGGGCCCTTTCCGATTGACCAAAGAGGGCTTCATTACTGCCAATTTCTGATGCATGGTATTAATTTGGTTACAGTATGATTCAGCATTGATGGTTTCGCCAGGATTTAAGAAGCTGTAGTGTATTAAACCAAATGAAGCCCACCATACCGTAACCATTACCTTTTTTTGATGAGTTGGGGGCTTTGGAAAATGTATTGGAGCTTCTCCTTTGTCGAGCCACTGTCCAGAACGTCTAGTGTTATCGTAGAGAATCCACTTTTCGTCACATGTAACAATTCTGGCCAGAAATGGGTCATTTTTGTTTCGACAAAGAAGTGATGCACAAACATCAAAGCGCTGATTTTTTTGGCGATCGTTTAATGAGTGTGGAACCCAATTTTCGAGTTTTTTCACTTTTCCAATCGCCTTGAGGTGGTCAGCGACGGTCGTTTTACTGACTTTGAGTTGCTCTGCACCCACCACTGATCGCAGAACATCATCATTAAGAGAGGAAGGCCTTCCACGACCTTCTTCATCTTCAAGGCTGAAATCTCCCTCCCGAAATTTTTTAAACCACCTTTGCACAGTGCACTCATTAACACAACCCTCGCCCCAGACTTGGTTAATGTTTCTAGCCGTTTGGGCTCCGCTTCGGCCGAGTTTAAACTCGTAAAAGAAAATCGTACGAAATTCTCGCTTTGACATTATAAGGATGACTGAATTATTTCCAAGTAGCGGAATGCTACAGAGGTAAACAAACAATATCATTTGGAAGAGGATTAATAAGTGTTGACATTCATACAAATGAGTAATCCTGTAAACGTAAACAGAATATTTTATATAGATTTTTTTTAATGAAAACTTAAAATCCTGCATTATTTTCCGGACAACCCGATATCAAAATATTGCTATATAAAAAGTCACATCAAAATTAGACATCGATTGCACCCAATATATCCAGAACTTGGAATCCACAACAACGTGATAACCTCGTGGGTATCAAGACACAAATAGGATTTTGGTTAACGGAAAAATTGACGATAAGATCTGCAAGACCATACTATAAGCCCTGAAGCTATTCTCGGCATAACAAAAATAAACACAGGATCCTCCATCACAGATTGATTTAAAAAAAAAGAAGAGAAATGGATAAACTCTAGGGACGCTAGACACAGCAAACTTATGCTTAAAAATCACCCTCACCAAGACTGGCAAACTCACTGTTACAATTAGACAGGGATAAACTGAAGACTCATAAGACTACTGGTCACTGGCATCTAACATCTACACCCCATGGGCTTCAATGATGACCACATTTGTAGATTATAAATGAGGAGGAAGAAACAGCCAACATTCTTTGTATATGAATCAACCGCTCAATGGTGAAAAAGAAAACCCAGGGAAAGAAAATGTACAACAGCAACGTCAGACAATGACCTAGTAGTCCTTAAACGAAGGATCGAATCGACAGAGTGAACTAAAGAGCAGGAATAACATACCAATTCTTCAGATGATATTGCTTTTGATTTTTATTTAAATTTTTACCTAAATTAATTAATCGGTAGTCAAAATTCCAAAGAATTTTTAATATTTCTTATTGTTAAAGTTAAATTTTTAAAATAGATTTTCTTACTGATCTTTATGAGAAAACGGTAATGTTTTTTGCAAATGCTGTCCTCATGAACAGTAACGTTACTAAATAAGTTCTGTTTACAAAGATGCAGTAAATTTTTAACTTTTTGTTTTGCCAGACGTCAATTTGAGTCCAACAAAGGGTGTTTTCTATTTCTTTAAAGTTGTTAAATTAAATTTAAATATAAACAGGTGTGGTTGACCTTTACGGTCACACGTTTTTATACCTCATAATAAAAATGGTTTATAACAAAATTTCCTTTCTTGAATACAATTTTTATTACGAATTTACCATAAAGACAAAACAATTATTTGCTTTCTAAAACAACGTGTCATTTCAGTTTTCAGCACAAGCAATTAAACAGGCTGAGCAGTTTAAGAGGATTAAAAAGCTGAGGGACGGACTGCATCCCTTTGAGTGAATTGCTAACAATTGCTCCTGGATAGAATTTGAGTTCAAGTACAACGAAAAAGGAGAGAGGGTTGTTAAGAAGATAAATGTGTGCTAGAATGGAGAGGAGGAAGCAAAGATACTCGTTGAAACAACACAACAAACACATCTCCTCCTCCGCCCTGCTTCCTTGACACACTCATCCAACGCCCTTTTGTTCGCTTCTCACTTCACTCGAACATGCCCTTACAAAGCCCTTTTTCTTTTGTATCAATTATTTATCACTTCAAACTATCTAAACATTTAATTTATTAATTCTTCCTAATGTAAATGTTTATCACAAAGATATCTGATTTCAATATTGCAAACGCAAACGGTTCTTTTTATTGTAATTAATAAAAAAATAAAATAAAAGTCACTAGATGAT